TCGGATTAATGCTTATATACATAAATTCCTTTCTGAACTGGGACATGGTATTCCTTTAACATCTTTGTTGTGTTAATTGTTTTTTAATTTTAATACAATGCGTAATTGCATATAATGGCTGGAGTTGTATTGTCTCCTGTAATCATGGGGGAATTTGTATGCTACTAGATATTAAAATGTCTATTAGTACACATTTAAAGAGTATTTGTTTTTTTAATCCAAGGAGATATTATTTTCATACAAGTCATTTATGTTTGTTGGTTGTGAAAAGAAGTTTCATTTGTTCCTCGTATCTAGAGAAAGTGATAGGTACATTGTTTGATAATTTGGAAAATTAGTTAGTATCGTTTGCATCCCCGGCAATACAAGTAGCCCAAAACTTCAGCATTGAGCACCAAACCAGCATTACTCTGAATGTTTCCTTGAGCTAAAATTAGTGAAGCACTTGGTCTTAGTAGTTTTGAAGGTTTTTAATGTTTGCTCTTAATACATGTTCTTGATTTGCTGATGTTTTTCATTTTATGGACTTTAGTGCATTTGAAGTATAAAAAAGTGGGTCTTTTGCATAAAAGAAAATATCCACATTCAAGCTCATAAAAAATGTGAGAATGTTAACATTTTAAATGTGGACTTTAGAGCACTGAAAATGGGTTTGAAATCTTGAGACTTCAAATATTTATTTTTTTACATTTTTAATACATGTTTTGTAAAATTAAATTAATAATATTTCATTAATTATTAATTAATTAAAATTAAACAAAAATAATTCATTAAATAAAAAATAACATTTAATAAAAAATAACATTAAATTTTTGAACAGATTACATTAATAAAAAAAACTAAGATAAATTGTATTTTGACCTTGATCTCTTTTTGTCTTCTCTTGAAATACATATGTTTGAAGCTTGTTAACGTATCAAGACTGATTTCTATTATTTCGAGCTCCTCATTTCACTTGCCTTTGTTTCTCCCTCTCTTCTTCCCTAAGATTGAAGACCTGCAAATCAACCATTGTTCAGCCGATATTATCGTGAAAGGAAATATAGCCAGAGTGCTGGACCCTACAGAATCTGAGGTGATGGATTTTGCCTTCTTTCTTCCGATCGGCCATGGAATGGGGTACTTTTCATCGGAGTCGTCTAGGTTGAAGGGAGGCCTTTGTTGCGACGAGGCGATAATGTCATCAGCGTCAACCTCGACGGAAGATCTTTTCTTTGACGATTCGGCCTCGAGGTTGTTGAATTGTTGCCATTTTGGTGAACGGCTCAAAACTCTCCACAAATCAACATGGGTCTTGCCTTGGTGTTCGTCGTCTTGATATTGGGCGGTGATTTGCCGTAAAACACAACATTGTTCATCCCGCTCTTCTAGGACCAAGAGTATTCTTCATAAACTTTGATAAACTTTTGGACTTTTTGGTTGATGTGGCCCCATTTAGAAGTAAGTTGGTCTCGGGTTTGGTAAGAGGTATCCTTGTTCATCGCTGCAAAGAACTTGTGCTCGATATGATCCCACATCGCATCCTTTGCTTGCTCAAAACCTTTAAGAAATATAAAATTGAAGGAAAAAAAATATTTTAACACAAATATACAAAAAGGAACATATATACAATATATATATATGGAAAAATATAAATTTTACCAACGATAGGATGCTCTGAGACGTCAACCCAAGTGGACGCCAACAATGATTCTTCCTCCGGAGTCCACTTTTGAATGGGTTGTACCACCTCGGGCATTGGCTTGTCGGTCTTCGGTTTGTGACTCTTTCGGCGTGCATTTTTTTGTGAAATTGGTTCCGGTTAAGTTTCCGGAACCGACTCCGGGTCCTCCAGATTCACCGTGTTTTACATACCGAACAACGCCAGTTTACTCCCGAACATTTGGTAAATCAACATCGCGTACTTGTTTGGCTAAAGACTGGACTAAGGAACGGAGGAACCGAAGGTATTAATGATAAAAATAAGAGACAAACTTGAAGTTGAAGAATTCTTTTTTTAAAAATTAAAAGAGAGAGATTTGTGTTTGCGTGTTTTATTTTTTAAAAAATTGTGAATTTATAGAAGAAGAAAAAAGATTTTTTTAAGAAGAATGCAATGGCATTATAGCCGTTTGACACGGGAAGGTTAACGCCCCAATGAAGCCCCAGAGGGGCGGTGTTTATCATCCTGGGCGTTAAAATAGAGAAAGCCCTGGTGTTACGACCATTTCAAGTGCCTTTAGGATCATGTAAGCATCACTCCAAAGCTTTGCCATGGACAAGAAATTCACACACACACATATTTATTTATTTATGTGTTTATATATATATATATATATATATATATATATATATATATATGTATGTATGTATGTGTGTGTGTGTGAGTGTATATATATATATATATATATATGTATGTATGTATGTATGTATGTGTGTGTGTGTGTGTGTATGTATACCAATTATTGAAGCTAGCAATTTGGAGGGGGCAAAGGGGGGGGGGTGC